TGCGTGTGCGTGTGTTTATGGAACTGCCATGCATCACACCAAGGATAGAAAATAGTGTGTATGTTTGCATGCGTACAAACCAGAACATATATACATCAAATTTTAATTTTCCAAAATTAAATCTTATGTATTCAAATTTCAACAGACAAACTGTTTACAGTGCCTGTGTAGACTGAAATAAAGTAGTCTAAGTGGGTGTATAGCCTGGCTAAATCTGGAAAGCCCTTTGCACTGTGTAACACATTTATGAAATACAACAGTTAAACTGTCATTCATTGCCATGAGGCTGTGGATTAGAGATGGTACATGAGGTCTGTTGGACTGTCTTGGTGGTGTGAACAGTGCCCTCTATCAGATAAGGGTGTGGTCCCTGTGTGCTCAGGTTTAACTCAGGGGAATTAAATGCAATGTTTCCTATATGTTCTGTTTCAGAGATTACTGAAAGCTGTCCTCAACTTTATCAGTGACTCAAAACAACAGAGACCTAATAACAGTGATGAGTTTTCAATGATCTCTTTTAAAAAATTATCTTATATTTTATCCAATATTCTCTTTTAGAAATATTATCCAATAATCTCTTAGAGTTTATAAGATTTATAACAGTGTTGAAGATCAGATTAAAGGGATATTTGTTCCTAATTATCGTTCCTTAGTTTTTGATATTTACAAAATGCTAACAGGGTTAATTTAAAAATAAAAATCAAATAAACTGTAGTTATTGTAGGTGTTATTCTTCCCATGTCAAAACCTTATTTTTTAGCACACTAAATGTCTTGTATATTTTAAGCCTTGACATTCTTTGAACTGTTCGGTGAAGCAAACCTTTCAACAGACACCAAACCAATACATTGTAATTTAATATTCAGTTTAAATCATAATGTTAAAAATTAACACTAAAGCCCTGTAATTATGGGGCACTTAGTAGTAATCCCCCATACCCCCCCCCCCCTGCATGTCACTAATTTATGATTGCGTATTATGAGATCAGGCTCTTGAATAGGGCTTCATAAACCATTTAGCTGTCATTGATAATGGAAGACCATCTTGTAGATTGAAAATTTATGAAGGAATCCTCTGTCCATTCTTGTGTTAATACTTTTTACTCATAATCTTATTTTCACCTAGACCTTATCCCTTAATTCATCCCTATTATGATAAACCTTTTAAATCAGAAGATGTGGTCTTCATTTTTAGAAAAATCAAAACAAAGGAGACAGCCCTAGTTTTAGTTTCACTTAGTTTCATGTGAGAATCCATCATGTGTTTCATATGGAAACTTCACAAGAATACATCAGTTTTACTTTTTATCCTGAAAAAAAAAAAAAAAAGGGAAAAGAACAATGTTTCCAGTCAGACATTGGTCACAGAAAGGTAGGATCATAAATACACATTCCTTTTACTTAATTTAAAAGGACATCTCCAGAAGAAGGTGGGGTGGGGGAGGGGTGGGGTGGGGGAGGGGTGGGGTAGTGGGTGGGGGTGGGGGGTGGGGGGTAAGTTAAGTTTCTAGTAAGCCACTGCTATTGCCTTGATATTTTAGCTTTTAAAATAAATGTAAGTAATCCCGTTTTTCCTTGGGTTTGTTGTCTCATGCACAGGGCTACACAGGGCTACACAGGGCTGTACCTGTATTCAGTGACGAGTGATGAATGGGTAATTAACGTAAATTCATCGTCAACGAGTGAAACTGAAAATACAGGTGTGCCTTTGAATAAAATGTTTTGTACTGGGCAAAACATATATATACTACAAGAAGGAGCTATATTTAGAATAGGGTGTTGGTTGAAATGCTTGTTTTGGATTTTCAGTTTTGTAGTGGTGATAAATTGGAGAAAGTTGAGAAAAAAAAAAGAGTTATGTCTTCGTTTATATGTGATGTTTTAAAACTAAACAGGACAAGTGAGACCACCTTTTTTGTTTTCTGATGACTTAAAATTTTTTGGCAGTGTTTGGCAGTATTCCACTATTTAATGTTATCTAGAAGGGCACAATTTCTTAAGGAAAATTCTAGTGACAGACGAAGAAACATCTATATATTTATAGCAAACTGCCAAGGAATGATGTATCACAGACCTCCAAAACATTATGACTTTCTTATAAGTATATGAGTATATAAACTGCAGTATTGTTTTACTTTGAGAAATGTCTGAATGCTGTATCAGGATGAATTAATCCATTACAAAAACTACAACTCATCAAGGACTTTTTTGAATCATGATGAAAAAAATTGTCCTCAGACTTGGGAATTTCTCACAGTGTGCTGTAAACTTTGGTGTTGTAGTATGTACTGGGACACTTTCACCCCATGGACCCTATTCTACAGTGACTCTTGCTAAGTGCAATCAGCTTAACTGAATGACACGCCCCCTTTTGCTTCCAATGTAGCATATAATATTAGTAAAGTCACCAGCTTTTCTGTATTCTACTTAGAGCTAGGAGGAAGCATGTCATCATTCAGTTAAGCTGATTGCAATCAGCGAGAGTCCCTGCTATGTTGGATCCATGTAACTAGTGCGATGGTTTCACTGGGATCACACCCTTAGAGTGGCATCCCTTAGAACACCTACAGTATATATGGATTACTGATGTGAACCCACCTCCTTGTTCTGAATATACAAGTAAAATATGCTTTATATCTGTCATTTGTGACACAGGAGTCAAAGGTGGAATTGTTTTAAGGCAAAGAATAAAGGTAAGCTAGATGTGCTATTGTCTGATCTTAGGGAGCTGATATGGTGTTGTTAGAAGTCTCAGAGCTAATGGAGATAAAGGTCAAAAAGTTATTAGGAAGAAGAGAGTGTGTGTGTGTGTGTGTGTGTGTGTGTGTGTGTGCAGGCATGCTTACATGTGTGTAGTTGTGTGTGTCAGGGTGCATGCTTTGCACATGTGTATGAGTGGACATGCATGCCTTGCGCAGGTTTGTGTGTGTGTATGTGTGTGTGTGCATGTCTATTTGTTTATGTGTGTGTTTCTCAGGGAGTCCAAACCCTTGTGTAAGTTGCTATATTGTGGCTAAAGAAACCCACTTCATATGGCAATGAAAAGAATGTAAAAGTGAAACAGATTCACAAAAAAAAAAAAAGAAAAAAAAATCATCGCACTTATCAAGAGGCATGCTAACGCAGCAGCAGGTCTTATTACCTGAACAGTTTTCAATGCCTTATCAGTCCGGGACACATTTCACTGTATTAAACAGGTAGTTAATGATTGTTGAAGATTTGTCGGCCTGTCATCATCTTTTAGTGGTCACATATTTTGTATCAGATTAATGGATGTTTTATTTTTATGAAGGATAATAATGCCTCAAGGAAATGCAAGCATTTACAACATTGAAATACATTTGTTGGAAGAAATATTCAAATTGAACTGAGATAAAAGTGTACACTTTCAGAGTAAAGAAAATATAAAAATATTTTCAAAAAGTTTTATTTTTATAAATAAGTGGAAAACAAGCTGTAGAATATGGGAATATTGGCAGAGGAGAAATTAAATCCAATAGCATTTTACTTGATTGGAAGTTTTGAGTGCTGAGGATTATCCTTTTTTGTCTTCAGTATTGCTTCATGTTTCAAAGGAGATTGGGAATAATTTGAGACTTTCTTGATAGAAAAGATTAATATTTCATTTCTGACAAAATGGTCAATTAGTTTCCCCAGTCATAGATTCCTATCTCCCAGTTATTGTGTCGCAGTATTTCTATCAAGATTGCGAGATATTTCTACCAGATAAATGTCGGATTAATTTTTTGTGTCAATAGATAAAAAGGAGCATGTCAAAAAGGAGAAAAAAAAAGAACTTGAGATAAAGGGTTTGAAACCAGTAACAAGAGATAGCAGCAACACAACAGAGCTATCCTGGAATAGACACTGCTATTGATCACTCGGCTGAAGCTGGGACGACGCCCACTTCCTCCTTTACCAATAGCATAAGATGTCTTTCTTATCCTTATATTATAGTATGTGACGATCACAAAAGGTGGTTTATACCATGTAGTTGTAATAATATACACTATATGACTTCATGTGACTGCATATTATGATACAAAGAATTAAATCCTTTATTAGATTGGAACCACAAAAAATATATTTTTAATACGTTAGAGAGATAAGGTAGTGCTTGCTAAGTTATTGATTCAGAAGTCTTTCTTCTGTGCTGGAATTGATTCAATCCCTGTGAGTTGTAGCTGACATATGACAAGTGGCCAATCTGACAAGAAATTTGGTTTCAATTAATGAAAATTTTATTTATTAATACGTGCCTGAATTAATCAATGAATGCATATTTGAGTTGTAGTAGGTTGAATCAGTATAACTGAAGTGAACAGCTTTTAACTTTCAGCTTGGTGATACATTTGTAAAGAAATAAAAAAAAAAGTTAGGAAAAAAAAAAAAAAAAGGGAAGAAAAGAAAGATATCCAGAAAAAGTTTATTATTTCCAACCCTAGTATGCCACCTGTCTTAAGAAAACTTCATTGGTATAAGTCTAGGTAATCTTCTTGGTGGCAGAACAAAGAACTGGCACATAGCACAGGTGGACTTTACCTTTAATAAGATCTCTTAATAATGGCTCTATGAGATAAGGAGCCCTATTGTTGTTGGCTTAGTCAATGATTAGCTTACCGTAATTGGGAGAAATAAGATTGAGGGTCTAGAAGTGGTTTGACTATGCTTAATCTAAAGCTGTAGGCAGCTCCTGAAATCGATATCAAGTTAACTTTGAACAGGCTGAACTGTGAGGGGGCGTGGTTGGTTGACAGTGAAAAGTGGCTTTGTTTGGCATCCATTTTTCTTTCCCTTTCTTTTTCTTTCTCATAATCTTTTTATCTTAATTTCCATTAAAAAAACTTTTAGTATTAGATTTGCATTATTTNTTGCAATATTAGATTTGCATTATTAATTGGTTTTGATTAAAAAAAACTAGTAAAAACAAAAAATATTAAAAATTGAATGGATTTTCCTTTTTTTATTGAATTTAGTCTGATTTTTGCCTCTTCATTTCAGCAACTCAGAAAAACAGTTGAATAACAACACCTCCCCTGAGGACCAGAATCTTGAAGAAAACAATTGTGTAAGTGTTAGCACAGTAAAATATTAACCAGCCCTGTTTCATATTCAGAATCAACCATTGAGAGATAAATCAGTCAATATCAAACTCCTTGTTTAAATTAGCATTGGAAGTTTTTCTGCAAGTGCAACAGACAATTTACAGTGTTAAAAATGTGTTAAAAATTATTTTCAATTTATCTTAGATACTTTACAGAGGCAATAATTTGTTCAGAATAAAAAAAGAAATCTCCAGTGACTGTGTCTGAGATATAACAGTGTACTGTAATATAACATGACATCTTGGTCACTCTGAGTTTTGGGCTATGCTCTGTAACCTTTCTTGATAACAGCATGTCCCTGGTGTAGGTAGCAAACAAAAGGAGACTTGTCATCAAATAAAGCTGATTGCATTTAGCGAGGGCCCCTGCGGAAGTCGTTCCTAATTACTGTATGTCATTGTGTTAGATGTGGCTTTATACCTGCTACATTGCGTTAGATGTGGCTTTATAACTGTTACGTTGCATTTGATGTGACATTATAACTGTTACATTGCGTTAGTTGTGACATAATAACTGCCTTGTTGCATCAAATGTTGCAGTGTGTCAGACTGATGAAAATCTTTCTTCTCAGACTTTAAAAAAAATTTTTGAACAGACAGACATTTGGCTTCATATATTAAAAAAATTGTTGGACTTTAAGACTTTTTGCTACACTGGCTTTAAATTGCAAATGGTAGCTCTTTAGATTGTTGACAATCCCCTAGACCAACTGAACTCAATCTTTCACCAGGCCATGAAAATATTTTGCAGTCTTGACATGTAAGACTGGCAGTGTCGGCATATCTTTTCAGTACTTTATTCCATTGTTTTTGTGGGCAGTTTAATGTATAAAATTATATATTTACTGAAGGTTATACCTACACATCAGTGATTTTTTTTAATCAGCTATTTATATTTTGAAAGTTCTGTGATAAATCCAGCATCTTAGTAGGATTAACCGTTGGTATCTTCTTGCTTTTCTTACATTGGCTGTAATTGCAGAATGTAATACACAAATTAATTATTTAGTCAAGCTCAAAGACTACAAAGTTGGTATCTTATTGTAATCAAGTAAGTCTAGATGACAAATTGTGATATATTGAAGCATTGCAATATGCACTGCCGTTAATATCAATACTGTCAGCAGGAGAAATTGGTCTGTTTAGGTGCATTCACACGTGGGTTCTTTTTTAGGCAGAAATTTGACTAAATGCATCATTTGTGGTCACATCTGTTCATAAGTAAGACTGCATTCCCAGAGATTAGATTGATCCAACTAGATCGACCTAACTCCCTGGGGGTTCACGCTAAATAGCTGTCAGCCAAGTGGGCACTAAAGTTAATTACCCCCTTACAGCTTGTAGTAGGCAGGAGGGACATTTAACCTGGATTATCTGACAGTTATCTAGTGAGACTCCTCACGGGGATAGATCGATCTAAAATCTATGGGAATGCACCCTAAGAGTTTATGATGTGTAATGTTGTGTGAGGAAGAGATGACAGGATTAATAGACAGCTTAGCTTAATACACACAGGGTCTGTCCACATAATAACAATAACCAAAGAACACACCAGTGGTGCAGACCTCCCCAGGAAAACTGCTATTAAACTTCTTCATATGATATTTGAAGATCCAGATTCAGATGAAATCATAGTCAATCCTTTTTCTTCTAAGTAACTGTCTGGACTGACCATTTCATCAAAATTTGTGAAGAGCTTTTTGAGATATTTTCTCCAGAAGGAAGCAGACCTAGACAAGTGAAACAACTGAAGAAGCCATTAATACCTTCACCATTGGTGGACATTTTTATGTACAGACACAGATGTGTCTGTACATATAGCCATCATCTGCGTCTGTCGTCGCCGTCGCCGTCGTCGCTGTCGTCGCTGTCGTCGCCGTCGTCGCCGTCGCCGTGCACTTTTACCGATAACACGATTAGTGGAAAACCATTTTGCCTTTTGATTTGANTGTTAAAAATGTGTTAAAAATTATTTTCAATTTATCTTAGATACTTTACAGAGGCAATAATTTGTTCAGAATGAAAAAAAAAAATCTCCAGTGACTGTGGCTGAGATATAACAGTGTACCTTATTTATAACATGACATCTTGGTCACTCTGAGTTTTGGGCTATTATCTGTAACCTTTCTTGATAACAGCATGTCCCTGGTGTAGGTAGCAAACAAAAGGAGACTTGTCATTAAATAAAGCTGATTGCATTTAGCGAGGGCCCCTGCGGAAGTCGTTCCTAATTACTGTATGTCATTGTATTAGATGTGGCTTTATACCTGCTACATTGCGTTAGATGTGGCTTTATAACTGTTACATTGCATTTGATGTGACATTATAACTGTTACATTGTGTTAGTTGTGACATTATAACTGCTTCATTGTGTTAGATGTGACATTATAACTGTTACATTGTGTTAGATGTGACATTATAACTGCCTTGTTGCATCAAATGTTGCAGTGTGTCAGACTGATGAAAATCTTTCTTCTCAGACTTTTAAAAAAATTTTTGAACAGACAGACATTTGGCTTCATATATTAAAAAAATTGGTGGACTTTAAGACTTTTTGCTACACTGGCTTTAAATTGCAAATGGTAGCTCTTTAGATTGTTGACAATCCCCTAGACCAACTGAACTCAATCTTTCACCAGTCCATGAAAATATTTTTAGTCTTGACATGTAAGACTGGCAATGTCGGCAGTACTTTATTCCATTGTTTTTGTGGGTAGTTTAATGTATAAAATTATATATTTACTGAAGGTTATATCTACACATCAGTAATTTTTTTCAAATCAGCAATTTATATTTTGAAAGTTCTGTGATAAAGCCAGCAAACTTGTTATCTTAGTAGGATTAACCGTTGGTATCTTCTTGCTTTTCTTACATTGGCTGTAATTGCAGAATGTAATACACAAATTACTTATTTAGTCAAGCTCAAAGACTACAAAGTTGGTATCTTATTGTAATCAAGTAAGTCTAGATGACAAATTGTGATATATTGAAGCATTGCAATATGCACTGCCATTAATATCAATACTGTCAGCAGGAGAAATTGGTCTGTTTAGGTGCATTCACACTTGGGTTCTTTTTTAGGCAGAAATTTGACTAAATGCATCATTTGTGGTCACATCTGTTCATAAGTAAGACCGCATTCCCAGAGATTAGATTGATCCAACTAGATCGACCTAACTCCCTGGGGGTTCACACTATATAGCTGTCAGACGAGTGGGCACTAAAGTTAATTACCCCCTTACAGCTTGTAGTAGGCAGGAGGGACATTTAAGCCGGATTATCTGACAGTTATGTAGTGAGACTCCTCACGGGGATAGATCGATCTAAAATCTATGGGAATGCACCCTAAGAGTTTATGATGTGTAATGTTGTGTGAGGAGGGGATGACAGGATTAATAGACAGCTTAGCTTAATACACACAGGGTCTGTCCACATAATAACAATAACCAAAGAACACACCAGTGGTGCAGACCTCCCCAGGAAAACTGCTATTAAACTTCTTCATATGATATTTGGAGATCCAGATTCAGATGAAATCATAGTCAATCCTTTTTCTTCTAAGTAACTGTCTGGACTGACCATTTCATCAAAATTTGTGAAGAGCTTTTTGAGATATTTTCTCCAGAAGGAAGCAGACCTAGACAAGTGAAACAACTGAAGAAGCCATTAATACCTTCACCATTGGTGGACATTTTTTCTTTTGTTCTTCCATCCAACCTTATTATAGGTGGGGTAATATTGATACCCTGATACTGTTTTTTCTTTGACTAGAAATTTTAGCCACATTATCTGTTGATAGAAGTGGTATCAAGTTTAGTGGTCACAACCTCAATGGAAATGCGGCTTGACTTAGGAACCCAATATTTTAGATCAAATGTATTGCTGATGTCATATAAAGTCTTTTTCTGGTCTAAAATTATCCTGTGTGTAAATACAACTTCATGAAATGATATTTTTATTTGATGAGCTAGAGTCAGGAAGGTATGCGTGTATACAAGTAATGTTTGACTATTTTTTCCAGTCCAGCTGGTACTCAATTGTTTATTGATTGTTGATATTAGAGTGAAAATTGTTTATTGATAGTTTTTTTCCCAGAGTTTTGTACTTCATAGATTGCGATGAGCTGAATACAAAGTTGAATGATTGAAATCTTGGAGATAAATTTTTTGGATGATAGATTATTTATTTTATAGAGAAAAAAATTGTTGGACAAGTAGTTAGTANGACCTCTGACCTACTTTTCATCATGAATTGAACTTAGCAAATTTTGCTTCCCTTTTATCTCCAAAACTGGCAGAGATAGGTTTATAGTTACTATTGAAGTTGAATAGGAAGTCATATACTGGCAATCTAAATATGACCTTAAAATTGACTTTTGACTAACTTTTCACCATGAACTGAACTCTGCTAATTTCTTTCTCTTTTAACTCCAAACCTGGCAGAGATAGGTCCATAGTTACTATTTAAGTTGAATTGGAAGTCATATACTGGTAATTTACTGTGACCTTAAAATTGACCTTTGACCTACCTTACGATGAACTTAACTTTGATTGTACCATTTTTAGTTATATATATATTTTTTGCATATTTTGAAAATTCTTGTTGATTGCATTTTTACAGCTTGTCAAGCACAAGACTGGTGGCTGTGTCCCTTATTTTGTGTATGTGGGGGTCTATACGTATGCGCTTACTCCAGCTGGTGGTACAATATTCGGAGGTGGTATCGCCTCTCTGATCCTCTAGTTGTAAGTTAGATGTAACATATGACACTCAGAAAGAGTTGGAAAAGGAATTATACCTGCCCAGTACTGTTTTAATATATGATGTTCCTGTAAATGAGAAAGTCCCCATCTTCTTTTGCATGAATTGCAAATTTTACTTTATCACAACAGTGTTATGGTATATTGTGGTTGCGTTTTATTAAATGATTATTGTATTCAAAATTCTTTCAAAATTAAAAAAAA